GAGGAGAGGGGGGAAGGAGAGCAGAGAGGGGGAAACAGAGGAGGGGGAAAGAGAAGAAGGGGGGAAGGAGAGGAGAGAGGGGGAAGGAGAAGAAAGGGGGAAGGAGGGGGGAGGAGAAGAGAGGGGGAAGGAGAGGAGAGGGGGGAAGGAGAGCAGAGAGGGGGAAAGAGAGGAGGGGGGGAAGGAGAAGAAGGGGGGAAGAAGAGGAGAGAGGGGGAAGGAGAAGAAAGGGGGAAGGAGAGCAGAGAGGGGGAAGGAGAGGAGAGGGGGGAAGGAGAGGAGAGCAGGGGAAGGAGAGGAGGGGCGGGGGGGAGGAGAGGCTGGGCGGGAGAAGGAGAGGAGGCGGGGGGGGAGAGGCGAGGGGGGGGAGAGGCTGGGCGGGGACCAGCAATTGGCAGCAGGCTTTGTGTGGCGGCTGAGTGAGAGCGAGGGGTTCCGGATGAACTCGGGGTTGGGGTCCCAGCACCAGGTAGTCAGGGAGCCTCCTGGGAGGACTGGGTGAGGGGCATGGAGGCTGGAGGGGAGGAAGGAAGGAGCTCTTTGCTGCAGACAGCCCTACCATGGGAGGTGCGGAGGGCTGTGGGGACCCCTCTGCTCTGACAGCCCCCCCCCCGTCTCTGCCCCAGGAGGCCTCCCTGCTGCCCCTCCGGCAGAACCAGCAATGGATCTGCCTAGAGTCGCTCTCTCCGGACACCCTGTATGAACTTCAAGTGCGGGTCAGGCCCCAGCTAGGCAAAAACAAGGCTTGGAGCCCCTGGAGTCAGCCGCTGGCCTTCAGGACGAGGCCCGCAGGTACCAGTGGGCAGGAGGGGTGCGACGGAGCTCAGGCAGGAGAGGGGGTGGCTGGGGTGCAATCTGAGCGCAGCTGGTGGGGGGGCGGAGGCCTGGGGATGGGGTCCAGGGCTCAGCCCCAGTCATGCCCATCTCCTAGGGTCAGCCCACTCAGTGTGAGGGTAAGCAGCGTGGTCGGGGGTGGGATTTCACCTTGAGGCCTCAGTTTCCTCATCTGTAAAGTGGGTCCCATGACAGGCGGCAGGTCTGCTGGGCCAGCTGGGATCTGGGAAGGGCTGGCATCGGAGCTCAGCCTGTCCCTCGGTGCCAGGGTAGCAGCGGGGGGTGGGGGGTGTGGAGTGACCTGAGCAAGTGGGGGCCCCTCTCTCTAACCCCTCTCCCTGCTTCTCCTCTCCCCCCACCCACCCCGGGCAGAGCCAGGGAAGGAGGCCGTGTCCTTTCCTTGGTTGGGTCAGATCATTATGGGCATCAGCAGCGCCTTTGGCTTCATCATCCTGGTCTACCTGCTGGCCAACTGCCGGTACATCGGGCCATGGTAAGCGCCCTCCCTCCCTGCCCCTTCCTGCTCTCGTCTGGCACACGCACCCCTTGCCAGGTCAGGCTCTAGGCTGAGCCCCCTGCTCTGACATACTGGTGCTCCCTCTGCCCTCCCAAGAGTCCTCCCTGCCTAACACCTGGCTTTTCCCTGCCACCCACCCCCCAAGATGAAACCCCCATGGAACCGGCCTGAGGGGAGCAGAGGACGGAGGGTCCTGTAGAGGCCTGGCCCAGAGCATTACTCTTAGGAGCTGAGTGTGTGTGTGTGTGTGTGTGTGCGTGCACGTGTGCGCACATGGGTCTCTCTAGGTCTGGGCATTCATTAGTTCCTACTTTCATTTGTTGAGCCCCAGCTCAGTGGCAGGCCTGGGGCTGAGAGCTGGGAAGGCAAGGGTTGCCAGCAGGACACCATGGCCCCCCTTCCCCTCTCATCCACCTCCCCTCCCTCCCCCTCTCCCATTCAGGCTGAAGAAGGTTCTGAAATGTCACATCCCAGATCCCTCAGAATTCTTTTCCCAGCTGAAGTCAGAGCACGGAGGAGATTTCCAGGTAGGACTCTGGGGGTGGAGGGCGGGAGCGGGCAGCCGGCTCGGGCTGGCCAGAGGGTGGGCAGAGGTGCGAGCGGACTTGCGCTTTGAAAGGAGGCAAAATACTCAAGTGAGTAGTCTCTGGGGGTGGGGGTGGGCCCCTTTCCCCCGCTCCAGCACCAGCCTTCTCAGGCGGAATGGCACCTGCCGTCTGAGCCAGACTTACTGGGTTCTAACCCTCACTCCACCCCTTCTTGGCTGTGCGATGTTGGGCAGGTCAGAGAACCTCCCTGTGCTCAGTTTCCTCACCTTTCAAATGGGGAGGGAGATGGTGTTACCAGGTGTTTGCATCCAAGAACACTGCCTGGGACACAGTAAGTGCTTAAGGGGCCCTGGCTGGAATGACTGTCACCAGTCTGCTGGCCGAGTGGGACTCACCAGGTCCAAATTCTCCCTAAATCTCTGAGCAGACTCCCTACCTTATCCCCGATGCTCACAAGTTCCTGAGCCCCACCTCATCCCTTGATGCAGATTCACGGCACAAGTGCAGGCCAGGAGAGTAGTAACACTCTGAACCCCATTTAAACCTCAGTCGCCTCCCCTCCCTGAGCCCACACTTGCTTCAGGAAGGAAGTGTCAGGGGTGGTGGGGGATGTGGTGGGCTGTTTCTGTCACCCTCCCCTCCCTAGGCTCTCTAGATTTGGCGGGGGATGAGCTGAGGGTGGAAGATTACGAGGTGTGTTGAGGGGCTGGAGAGCCAAGCTGGGCCCAGAGCTATCAAGAGGGGACCTTTGGAGTTCTCTATTGCAGGCGATCAGGGCCCCTTCTGGAATTCTTTGGAAAATTCCCAAGACTGGGGCTATCTGACCTACAGCTCTCTTGCTGCATAGTTCTCTGGATCTCCTTAAAATTCTTCCTAAAGCCCTAAAGGTTGTGAGCTCCCCGTCAACAGAGGCATTCATGCAAGCCTTGGCTGACTATCTAGATTGTACGGGACTAAGACCTTTTCGGATGGGAGGGAGCTCCTTCCTGGAGAGGTGCGAACCACTCCATCTTCCCATGAGGCCGACCCCGGGTCTAGATGCCTGCTCCAGACCTTGGGTGTGTGTGTGGGGGGGGGGGGGTATCCCAAGGAGGCCCTGGGGCTGCACGATGTGGTTGGGGGTTGGGGCTGGCCAAGAGGGACCCCAGCCTCTCCTCTGTGGCAGGGCAGGAGGCCCGTTCCCCTCTCTCTACCCCAGGACCTCTGGCTACAGGGCCACGGGGCCCACCGCCCTGTCCACGGGACCTGGGAGTGTGCGTGCCAGTGTGTGAGCGTGTGTGAGGGGAGATTAGTTTCTCCTCGCCGCCCCCCCCTCACTTCAGGGCATTGTGGACGGAGGCCCAGGCCCAGGAAGTGGCTGACCGCACACACCTTGGAGGGGGGCCAGCCAGGCCCTGGCACACCAGTGCCGGTCACGGGCTTGGCTTCTCCTTCTTCTGGCTGCATGCTCAACACGGCTGCCCGGACCTGGCCTCCCCCACTGCCTCTTCTAGTGCCAGACCCTGCCCAACACCCGCCCCGACCTGCCCTATCTCCATCTCTTCCCAGCCTGCTGGGCACAGGAGTGTAGGAGGGGCCCATCAGGCCCGGGCCCTCTGCCCAGGGGACCCCACAGTCCAGCTGTTGAGGGCTCCCAGGACAGAGGGCTGTTGAAGCCCCTGTCGCACCCCCCGAGAGGTCTGTTGTCCCTCACACTGCTGGTGGTGGCCTGCATTTTACCCTGTGCTAGGAATTCCCACCTTCATTTTCTTATCTGACATCTTCCTGCTGTCCCCCCCTCCCTACCCCTGCCTCCAGTAAGGAAGTTGGGAAAGAGGTGGCTAACCGTTGTGGAATTGAGGCTCAGAGAGGTGTAGTGACCTGCCCGGGGACACACAGTGAGTGAGTGCCAGGGCCAGGACTGGAATGTGGGTCTCCAGACCCTGGAGCAAGTGGGAAGGGCTCTGGAGGGCACTTTCTTTTCTCTGTGGGTGGAGGACGTGGGAGGTGGCGGCTACATGGCTCTGGGAGGGAGAGGAGAATTGCAGGGCCATCAGGTCCCCACCAGAGACTTGTATGCATGGCAGTGTGAGTCGGGAGCCTGGTTCCCCGCTCTGCCATCAGCTGGCTGTGCAATCAGCCCCGGGACACGTCCCCTCTCTGGGCATCTGGAAGGTGAACAAGATGTGCCCCAGGGCCCTTTGTGCCTTGGGCTTGGGTGATTCACGCATTGGTGCTGGCACCCTGCAGACACATGGGATTTTACCCTTTGCCCGGTGCCTAGGTCAGTGCCAGGCTTCACCGCGGGTGCTCAGTAAACAGTCACTCATGGAAACGGCGCATCGCATGGGCGCCTACAGCAAGCATGCTCCCTGGGCTGACCCAGAGCATTCCCCAGGCCAGTTGGGGTGAACAGTCTGGGAGGCCTTCCTGGAGGTGGCCGCCCGAGTAGACTATAATTAAGAGTCATTGCTGCGCGTCTGGGGGAGGCGTCCCACTCACCTTCCGGCCGCTCTCTCTCCTGGCAGAAGTGGCTCTCCTCGCCCTTCCCCTCGGCCTCCTTCAGCCCCAACACACCGGCACCTGAGATCTCCCCGCTGGAGGTGCTGGACAGGGACGCCAAGGCCACCCAACTGCTCCTGCTGCAGCAGGAGCAGGCGCCCTCCGCGTCCTCAGCCGAGACCAGCGGCCACTCGCTGACCAGCTGCTTCACCAACCAGGGCTACTTCTTCTTCCACCTCCCGGATGCTCTGGAGATCGAGGCCTGCCAGGTGTACTTCACCTATGACCCCTGCACGCAAGAGCCTGATGAGGGTGGGCCCGGGGCGCCTGAGGGGTCTCTCCTCCCACCTTTGCTGCCTCCGCAGGGGGAGGACGACGCCTACTGCACCTTCCCCCCAGGGGATGGCCTGCTGCTCTTCTCGCCCAGTCTCCTCGGCGGCCCGGGCCCCCCAAACACTGCCGCGGGGGGGCCCGGAGCTCAGGAAGAGAAGCTGTCCCCTTCTCTGCAGGAGGGAGCTCCCAGAGACTGGGCCCCCCGGCCCCCGATGTCTCCCCCGCCAGGTGCACCCGAGCCGGTGGAATCCCAGCCACCTCTGGAGGGCGCAGTGCAAGGAGCAAGAGAGGAGGTCCCGGGCCCCGGCCCCGGCCCTGGGGAGGGGGTCAGGGTCAGCTTCCCCTGGGCTAGCCCTCCTGGGCAAGGCCAGGTCAGAGCCCCTGCCTCCTGCCTGACCCTGAACACCGATGCCTACCTGTCCCTCCAGGAGCTGCAGGATCAGGACCCAGCTCGCTCGGTGTAGACACACGGCCAGGCGGGTCACTGCCCACTGTGGTGCCAGGGCCCCGCGGAGGACTTGTTGCCCTCAAGGCTTGTCCACGGCTGAGTCACGCGGTTTCTAGCTGTCCCCCGGAGGGCCCCCACCTAACCCAGCGCACTTGGCCGTTCACTTCCAAAGACTTCAGTCGCTGCTCCCTGGTCCTGTGACCCAAGTGCAGAGGGTGGGGGGCACCGTGACTCCCCAACTCCCTCATCAGGCATCGAGTCCCACGGCTTTTTGCCTCTGAAGCCTCCCTCCTCTTCAGCCCTGCAAGCACTGTTGAGGGAGAGTTCTCGGGGTTCTCCAGGGGTCTTCACCGTGCCCTCCTCACTGGGCTTCCTGCCCCCATCTCCCTCCCTCCCACCCATCCCCCAAAGGGAGGCCAGAACACTCTCTCCAGGATGTAAATATGGCAATGCCGCCCCTTGTTTAAAACCCTGCCATGGCTCCTCTCCGCCCTCAGCACCACTGCTTGGCCTGGCCCTTGCTCCTGTAGCCTCATGTTGGGACAGTGCCTTCCAGAACCCTCCCAATGGTCCTACTGAGCCACCAGCAGTTCCCTCCTGCCCCCACGCCTTTGCACATGCTGTTCCCCTGCACCTGCAGTGCCTCCCTCGTCCAGGGGACAGACTCCCCTTATCCTTCAAGTGTCAGGTCGGCTTCCCTTGGAAGGAAACGCTGCTTCCATTAATGTTCCCAGACTTTCTGATTCAGTGCTGGAGGGGCAGGCTCTCGGGGTCACGGGATGGCTAGACAAAACGGCCTTGTTGCTTCACCCTTGGGGTCTCTCATGACCTCAGCATGCTTAGCTGCTGTGTCCCGACCACAGTACGGACACAAATGCCCCAGGAGAGCAGACGCTGGCTGGATGTTTCCAGAGTGGTTTCAGACGCCTAAGGCATGCTGCTGGGAAGGAACTGCCCCCCCCCCAGGGCATGTTCTGATGCTGTTGCGGGGGGCTCAGATCCGGGCCCCTGCCACTCCACCCTCTCCTGGAGGGATCTCTTCCGCGGCTCAGGGGCTGGCACGCCGCCTCCAGAAGGGCAACTCCGTTCACTGCACTTGGTGCGGCGTGCCTGGCACCCCCGTCACATTCCCTGAATGCAATCCTGAACTACCCGGTACCATCTTGCTTGGATTCCCCGTACCCGGCTGCCTTCACATAGGGGACATCGTCCACCTCACAGAGCACCCCCCGGCACCTTGACCCTTCTGAGGTCAAGCCTCAGGGAAGCAAAGCCCCGTGGCCACGAGGTTCCAGCATGCCCATTCCAGCAAGAGGCTCATCCCCTTTCAATGGCAATCCTTCCCCCCAACACACACAGAGCTGGCCTCTTCCTTCTTAGTGCTCCCCACCACGTCTCCATTTCTCTTCCTTCTGTCTCTGGCACGGATCACACGTGTGATGCCTGCCACCGTCTTCCTCCCGCACTAGAAACCTCAGCACGGAAAGGTCTACATCCAAACTCAGCGGGGACTACCCAGGGCCTGCATTTCTAGGCCCTGCTGCTAGCTGATTGGGCACCTGACACAAGCCCACCCATAGACTGACAGGCAGCCTATGGGCTGGCTCAGAACATAAGCTCTGTCCAATCAGAGAGGCCTGGCCCTAACCGGCCCATCAGGTTACTCTCGGTGTTGAGCTCAGGGATGGGAGGGAGGGAGGCACCTGGGAGCAGGTGCATGCGGCGATGGGACTTCAGTCTTGTTAGCAGAGAGCGCCGGCCGCTGCTACATAGACTCCTGCTGCCAAGGAAGCCACTGAATGTTCACTCAAGATTCTTATTTTCCTTATGTCCCAAATAAACTCCCCTTTCCGGAGGTTGTCTGAGTCTTGGATCCTTACTACGGAAGAGCTTAATCAGCCGGCGTCTCACTTCCTACCTCCTGCCATTTGATCCCATGTCCTCTGGGCCACAACGCTCCCCAGTCCTGAGCTGAACATCAGACCCAAGCTCTGAGCCCAGACCCTTTGGCTCTGTGTCCCAGGACCACCTGGGAAGCCTCTCTGCAAGGCAGGCTCCACCTCTGGGAGAGTTCTTGGGCCGGTTACGTTGCTCGAACCTGGGTCCTCTGTGTTACACGTATTTTCAGAGATCTGTGTGAACCGTCTCCATTAGTTTACGTAATGTTTTTCTTTCAATCTCTTCACTTGTTTGTTTACTCATATTTAAAGAACAATCTTTGTATTGCTTCTGTAAATGGAAAAACGGACAGTCTATAAGGAAAATGCAACTCTAAAAAGTAAATACAATAAAGCAAAGTGTGTCGATTCATTGCCTGCTGGAAATCTGCTCTCTTCGTTAAAGACGAGATTAGCAAGTGTTGGGAGGCTGTTGAAGACAGCCAGCACCGAATAGTGAGAAAGTAAAAGATTATAAAGGGAATTTCATTTTCACTGATAGGAGGCAGGTTTATGGTATTCTGTGCCTAGGCACCAGCTGACATGGTCTCATGGGAAAACAAAAATAAAATACCATAAAAAATAGAACTAATGTGTACATTTAAAATAATATAAAGGAATATAATATAAACAGAATATAATAAATATAAATAAAATGAAACATATTTCATTACATATATATGTGTACACACACACACACACACACACACACAGAGTTTCCCTTTAGTGCCTTTGAATAGTTAGACCAGATCAGGGATGGTAAAATCTGGCATTCATAAGGCTTTACCCATGGCAGACATTGCTAATCAATTGCAGCCACTCATACCAGACATTGCTAACTGATCACGTCTCTCCTTCCGGGGAAGTTTGGGAATACCAGCTTTAGATTCCGTAGTCTGGTCCCGATTGATCATAGCTGGCACCCTGGGACATATCTGGACCAGAAAATCCCTCCAATTCCTTCCACAGTGGAAGGTCTTATCTTCCCAGGCTCCAATCTTTCACGCAGGGATGGGGGCTCGAAAGCTGAGAGGCACCTATTAGCAGACACGCCCAGGGAACCCAGCTGTCCCCACTGTGTCTGATGACAGACTTGAGCTGGTGGTGAGCAGAATGGGGGGGTCATCTTACACCAGGTGGACTGATGGGTCAGAAGCTACCACATGACACATCCAGCGTGGAACAGAGTCTGTGCCTCCAGGGACGGGGCAAGGAAGAAGCAGCTGGTAGGGGGAGAGAGGGCAAAGCAGAGGCAGGCCTGCCTGGGTCAGATTGCAGCGAGAGGAGCGGCACCAGCTGGGAAGCAGGCAGCTGAGGGCCCCGGGAGATCTGTCAGGTGCGGAGTGGGAAGCAGAAGGCAGCCGGGCAGATTGGGGGATAAGAGAAAAGGAGGGAGGGGCGCCTGGGTGGCTTAGTCGGTTAAGCGTCCGACTTTCGCCTAGGTCATGATCTCGCAGTTCGTGGGTTCGAGCCCCGTGTCGGGCTCTGTGCTGACTGCCAGCTCGGAGCCTGGAGCCTATTTCAGAATCTGTATCTCCCTCTCTCTCTGACCCTCCCCTGCTCACACTGTCTCTCTCTCTCCTAGAAATAAATTTAAAAAAAAAAAATTCAGGATTGCCTGTCAGCTGGATGGGGACTTGTGTGAACTGAATCTGTGGATGTACCTGTTCCTGTCCTCACTTCAGCAGTGACTGCAGCCTGATTTTCTTCAAGGGAAATATTTTCTGTATCTAACTGACTTCTAGTCACACCTTTCAATAGCATCAAAGCCTTTTTATTTTGCTATTTGTAAACATCTTTAATTTTTAAAAAGCATTTTATTTTTGAGAGAGAGAGNGAGCCTGGAGCCTATTTCAGAATCTGTATCTCCCTCTCTCTCTGACCCTCCCCTGCTCACGCTGTCTCTCTCTCTCTCCTAGAAATAAATAAAAATATTAAAAAAAAAAAGAGAGAGAGAGAAAAGGAGGGAGAGTCTGGCAGCCCTTCCAGCCTCTCAGATCTCCAATTTCTCGAACTATATTTGTTCCTCGCCTCCCCAGTTATCTGGTAACCCCTGCTCTCTCCTCGCTTCCCAGATCCCACCCCCAGCAGCTTCCAATGTCCATGGTCGCCGAGCAAATTGCAGAGCACACAGTCCATCCTGGCGTAAATAACCCTCTTAATTATTGCTCTTTTAATTATTGGCATCCTGGACGACTTCAAAAAAGATTAAGAGGCACATTAGACGCAGGGCCAGATACTTACCAAGCACCACCCTCATCACCTGAAAAGACCCAGCAAAGCAGGTGTTCTATCCCCCATTTTGCAGATTAGGAAACTGAGGCTCAGGGAAGTTTAAAAACGCAGCTGATGGTTGGACGATCTGGGATTCAAGCTCATATACCTGTGGCCGCAGAGCTTTGGGCCCTTTGCATATACAGGGCTGCACGGGAGACAATTACATTAGTGGAAAAAAATTAGGAAAATTCCACTCGACGCTTCCTGGCAACCAATTACAAAGTGAAAAAGCAGCCCACTTGCCACGACTGTAATTGTAGTTGAAACCATCCTCACGCTCGTGACCCGGCAGCATCGCCTTGAGCTCGGATCCCTGCTCAGCCTTGGTCCAACTGTCCCCTGCCGCCTGTGCCTCTAATTCTTCCACCTCCTCGGCCACCTATAGCCCAAACTAGCTGAAGAGGGGCTCAGCTTCTCTGGCTAAAGCCCCGTGCCACATGTCCGTCTCCCTTCCCGATTAAGGAGACCCCGTTAGGACCTCCCCATGCAACAGATTGTCAATAAAGGTTCAGGTTGCACAGAGGAGGGTGTGGCTGTCCCATTACTTGTCTGTGTTCTCCACGGTCACTCCCCCACCCAGGGCTGGGGACTCTGCAGACGGGGCAGTCGCCAGCCTCCTCTCTGTGGCCAGCTCATGGCATGAGGCCAGGTGCACAAAGGAAGATGATGCGTCTCCCGCCAGCTCCTCCCTCCCTCTGCGTCCTGGCTTCCTGGAATTGTAGACGGGGAACCTCTCCCCACCGCCTCCCCCCCAACCTGTATCTCTCTCTCCACTCAGCACTTCCGGCCTTGCTTTCCCACAGCCCTTCGCCACCCACCCCACCCCCCCACCTAGGCCTTGTGATGGGAGCGTCGAGTGTGTCATATCAGGGCGGTGGAAAATGTTTCTGAACAAGCCAGCCAAGGGGATGTCCCGCCTGTCACAGTGGACGGGCCCAGGCACCAGTGCTGAGCTAAGTTTAATCAACAACCCAACCGCTTACCCCACAACCCCCAACAACTGTGGCCTTGAGATAGGAGAATGCAGGGGTGAGGGCCCGAGGTTCCAGCTGCCCCCCAGCCAGACACACCGGGGGACGTGTGCTGTCTTTTTAGAACCTCTTGTCCTCCCCTGGGACGCAGAACTCAGAAGCTCGGTCATTCCTGTTTTACTGGATGGCTGAGAGATGGGGTGAGATACTAGACAGGCACCCACTCGAAAATCAGAGAAAAGCTCGCCCTGGTGAGTGCTGAAGTCCTCCTGGTTCACATCCTTGCTTCACTGTGTGCAAGCTGTGTGGCCCTGGGCAAGTCAGTGACCTCTCTGTGCCTTAGTCTTCGCATCCCTGAAATGGGCTCAGAGTGGTACCTCCTTTTCTCCTCATGGTATTGTTTGAGGATCGAGTGAGTTAATAACGCAATGTGCTTAGCACAGAGGCTGAGGTGGGCTAAGTGCTCAATAAAGGCAGCTCTTGAAGGGACACTAAAGGATCCTCACAAGCCCTTGTCCCCACCGCTGTCCCTCCCAGCGCCTGCCACGGGGTGCTCGTTGAGTGAATGTGTATGTTGGTGGATGGGTGAAAGAAGGAAGGAAGGGAAGGAAGGAAGGACACAGAGGGTCCAAGAACGTGGACTTGTGTATATATTGGGACCAACGTGGACGGCAGAAGGGACAGAGCCCATGGTCTCTCCCAGCCACACCTGGGTTAATGGCTGTGCTGATGACACAAGGTATCTGGAGGAGAGAGGCGCTCGGGGTGCCTGAGCCAGTGCTGGCTGCTGCTTCTGGAGAGCAGCAAGAAAGCCGCTCCTTGGAGAACCTTCTATGCCTCCAGCCCTTGGATCCGGGCCCTCAAACGGAACTGCCCACAGGGGAGGAGCTTTGGCTATAATGGCATTTTGAGACCAAAAAAAATTGTACAAGTATACGTTGAAACCTGGAATTCTGTGTGCCTTGGAAATTTTTTATTGACCATCTGCCTAATGGTTTTTATTCTTAAGAATGTATTTTTGGGCAGCGTCCTGGGAAGAGCACAGGACTGGGAACCCGGTAATTTGGTCTCCACTCCCAGACCTGCTGCAGCCTTGCGGTGTGAACTCCCCTCCGGCCCCAGGGTCTCCATCCCCCCAGGGTGTTCCGGGAGCCCCCACTGCCAGAAGGGACCTCACAGCGGAGGGGAGGCCAGGGCTGAGTGACGCAAGAGGAGTTTCTATTCTGTGTCCCCGACTGTGGCTTCAGGCAGTAAATTTCAACCCCCAAACCCCTGATCAGAAGCCACTCCCCTGACCTCTGCCTGGGAAAGTGTCAAGGGGCCCCGCGGGGACCTGATGAGTCCTCTAACTGCGCTTGCAGACAGAGGCCAGGACACAGAGCTGGGACGGAAGGGGTGAGGGGCCTAAAGAGGGAGGGACACAGACACAGGACGGAGGAGGGGCACTGGGGACTCTGACATCAGGGGAACTTGGGTTTGAATCCCAGCACTTCCTGCTATGTGATGTTGACAGTGACCTCTGTTTTCTGACCTGCTACTTCCTCGCCTGCAAAATGGAGTAAAATGGCCATTTTTCTTACCAGGGGATGAGGCCAGTCCTGGGTCTGGCTAGCTGTATCACAAAGTCACAGAGTCTTGGGGCCTCCATGAGGGTTCTGGAAGCCCTTAGG